ATTATGATATAAGTTTACAAGTTGTTGTTGCAGATGATGCCTTCACCAAGGGCATCGGAGATGTCATCGTCCACATCTTCCCGACGGCTTAGAAAAGGGTATAACGCATGCATCCATGTCGCTGACAAAGACAGATCAGCGTTGCGGACAGATTGAGTAAGAAACTCTCGCTTTGGATTTCGTCATCTGCTGTTTCCCTATAATCATTTATGGCCAACGGTTTACTTAGCTGATAGACCGCAAGCCATTAATTTCAATTTTTGAATCAAATCAGGCATTTTAACTCAATCCGCAAACCGCCTCCAACAATGGACACTTATCCAATTGAATTATGTCTTCGAAATCCAGTGCCGTCGCACCGAGGATTTTGGGTAGGCAGACGCCCTATCACTGCTCATCAATAACCATCTTACCACCAGGAAATATGCCGTCATCAGTGACATCTGCGTCGACAAAGGTATGCAACAACAGACACCTCAAACAGTTCGTACGCTGCCGGTTTCGATTGTCGACAGTAAACGGAAAGCGGCCTCATGCAACACACTGCAGCAGGCCACTTATTACGCCCAGTTCTCCTAGTTACGGGCAGACATAACAAAACCTCTGTTCTGAAAACAGCATTTTACTCAACTTCCTTTTGTACAGATTTGGCATTCAAGCTAGATTTATGTGACCTGAAGCCCATTTTCGCAATCAGCTGATTGTTTCCCAGTTCTTTAAATACTGACATATGTTACATGGCTACTGGGAGATGCTGCTACAGAAGTAATCGACTTTCTTAAAACATTTCCTTATCAAGAACTGATTGATGCTACACTCACAAGATTGATCAGCTTGAACAAGGCCTGTCGTCGCCACCAACTTTAAGGTATCCAAGTAGGTGATATATCTCCTTCCCAACTCCTTAGACATCTGCACCTTTATGTTAAGGATAACAGGTTTTGAAATGAGAGTCGTCGTGCACCCTTACGTAGTATTTAGTTCATATCCCTTCAAAACGCGTCTAATCTAGCCCTTTAAAGTAGACAATTTCTTGAAGCTTTAATTCATAGATGTCGACTTCGTATTTTGTCCTATCTGAGGGAAAAATATTGCCATATTGCACAGCACATTCAAGCTGATAACAAAGCAGCTAGAAGCTTCATCAGTTCCTAAAGTCGACAAAGTAATTGCGCTGCCAGAATGGCATGTGAGGACGCTAAAATGAACTTTGAAGCACTGGCGTGGAACTTTCAAAGGCCCATTTCAATTTTCGAAATACATTTTTTGTACTCTTAGCTTTGAACCGTTTTCCCATTTAACTGGGTTTATTTACTAACAAGATTCAAAATAACGAGATTTGAAATAATGCTAATCTCTTGAAATTTGCATGAGCTTCTTATCTTGCCTTTTGCAATAATTGGTTAATTGAAATACTGTAGGCAGGAAAGCAAAGTATTATTTTGTTAGTGAGTTGCCTGCCATTTTGTATAGTAAACACAAGTGTGGAGAGGGAAGACGAGGCGAAAATCACCGCTTTAGGTTGAGTCCAGCACTCATTGCCACATTTTAATTGGTTGCTGTTTCGGTAAGCCGATTATCACGTTTGCACCATCACGCGAGAACACATTTCACATGACATCACATCAAGTGACATCCAAACTACTATCGTAAATTTTGCTGCAGTGTTGGATTTGTATTCGAGTTTCACGGATTATCTGCCCATAATGCCAGTAAACGAATAACATTTCTTTTCAAGGAAGCCTTTGAGTAACAAATCACTTTTTCTAAATTAAGCAATTTTGATTATGCTATGCTGCGTGGGCCGCTTTTTGCATGGTCTACTAATTTAGCGTTAGATGTCACATTACTCCACATACAAGTCAGTCATGAACATAAAAACAAGGTGGCTTGGTTGTCTTAGGAACGCGCAGCCTCTCATTTGTGCTTGCACTGCACGTCAAACAAATGGCATTTCCAAATTATTTCGAAGAATACCAGCGTCTAGATTTATTTCCTACACCATCAGGCTTGCGAGTTTAGAAGCGTTTGATTGTGAAAAGTTCGTAATGTTAAAATTCAAAACACATGTCTCTAAACGTATGCTATTTAAACAGAAATCCTGTCTGTTTGCTTAAGAAAAATGGGAGCTCAACTAGATTTCTGAGACGAAGTCCATTCTTTGGCAACTTTCTCAAAAGCTTCCTCATGTAGACTTGCTGGATGAGCAGAGTGATCTTGCACGAAAACAACCCCACGCATGTGAAGCGTTGCTTCCCTCCTGTAGAATGTTAAAACAGCAAATGAAGTTGTGATAGACTTATGGGGGCTTACATTCTCCATACTTGTTTTTTAAGGTTTCCATGAAGTCGCTCATACTGCTCACCGTTAACTTGAAGATTATACCCAATGGACAAAGCCAGCCGTAAATGTTAGTCTCTGCAATTGACGTTGTGCACTAATTCATCAAACATTGGTTTGCTGCGTCCAAAACGAAGTACCTTTAGCCCCTCAAAAAGTGTCACTCAACAGTTTTGTGGCATAACAGAGACAGCATGAGATCCGCGGTCGTCGGCTTACGGGGATTTTTATGTGTCCGCACAGATGTTTGGGGCCATTGCACAAGTTAGAACGTAAAATGCCAACAACTAGAACTAATGTTCACACAAAACAGTGGTTTTGTACCTAATGCCTTTGTGATCAGAAATCTGGTGAATCAAGCTCATTATCTCCTAACACGCCGAGAAGAGACACGATTTGCGGAGGCAGACAAGATTGGTTTGTAAGCGCTTTGAAATTACCTGTTAAATTAGGTCTTAGCACCTTCATGTGCGTGAAAGTTATAATTGGCAAACAGAAGCAACCAATGGGAAATAACCTCGTTTGTGATACCCAATCATTCTTCGTCCTTACATCTAATATTGTCATGTTCACACGTTCTCATAGCATGCATGTATAAAACCAGAGAATTTCATTACCGGAGACATTTGTACCGATAATCAACAATGAAGCAGTCATGCTCACAAAGTCCCGTGAAAGATGACAGCTCCAATGGGGACCAGGACTGTAGCGATTCAGATATTGATAGGGGTGAGTAAACTTTAGTTGTAGTTTAGCTTTTCGTACAATTTCGATTTCACACAGTGCATTCATTAATTCTGGCTCTATTGACCAAACTAGATTGATGAATGATTTTGATTAACTAGACTTCTATTTTGGAAAGCCAAATATGTTTAATGAAGCCAAATAATTCAGACCGCATTTAGGTTCGAATTTGGCGCATTTATAATTGTTTTGTGTACGTTTGCTCAACACTTGGTCTACGCTAGGTTTCATTTGTCATTTATTGATTAAATCCTACTGCTCTTTATACCATCACCACCTGCGTGTCAGCACCACATGTACAGTCACCTGCATTCGAAACATGAGAAAACAGAGATGTTTAAATAGGTAGTGGCTAGTGAAGATAAATTGGCACGCAGACGTGTTTGCAGTGTGCTGTCCTTATGGTGTGTGGACACCACTACTGTATCCTTACTCACCCGTACCTGGTGCTAATTTATACGAATGCACTTGACGCCCAGTTGTAGTAAGCATTGGAATCAAGTAAGCGGACGTTTAATGATGCAACGTGACAGCTAAAGTGTACAGAAATCAAACTGCCGCAAAAGGTTGGTTGGGCTTGTTTTACCACAGACCCACTAAACCTTTGCAGACAACTCCAGCGAAAAGTCATCGTGTACCTCTTTATCTACTAATCTGTACCACCCTCAAAATATGATTCGTTGGTCTAATACAATAGCCTGATATTGCAGGAGCACCTTTTGTCTGCTTTCAGAGTCGAGTACTGACTCGTTTGCTGACGCAGCCCAGCAAATAATAGATCTGCGAGCTACAGGTCACGCACTCGACCTATTGCACAGTATCTTGCAAGGGTTAAATGCGTGGCAGGAGGCCACTACGGATCGTGATCTCGCTGCTGTCGTTTATCGTACGATGCAAGTCAGTGTGAATTCAATCCGACTGCTAAGATATTCGCTCGACTGAATCGTCGACTCAGACCCCTACTTGTGAGCAATTGTTGACTACAACGATTAATGTTTGTACAATTCGCGAATGTGTTTGCTTGAATTGTGTGTTGATTTTGACCCAAATTTCAAACTTTTGCATTTTACAGGCTTCTCGTTTTTGCATACTGCAAAGGGGGTCATAGTTGGCTTGTGTTTGCACCAAAATACATCAATGTAGTTCGCAGATGAGATTGTGAAGATGTTGTGTGATGGCTAGCACCAATTTGCAGAGTATGCATGATCCATTTGCGTACAGTAGTGCAAGAAGTCATGCGAAAATAATGACCTCCAATTACACTGAAGATATTAGTTGGTGATAATGAGTTCTAGATGCTAGTTTGACTAATTTCAGAAATTATTTAGCAGGGCTCAAAATTCGCAATTTGTATTTTGGCTCCTTAAACTTAGTAGGAGTCAATGCGCGTTAGAAAATTCGTCAAAAAAGGCAAAAAAAGTCATGAAAGAATTAGTTTAAAAATTAATTAAGTATAATGGGTTGACATTGAAGATGCTTTAAGCGATAATACCTACAATTGTTTACATGGCCTATAGTCATGGTGAGTTGGAAATTGGCAGTCTGCGGGTAGAGGCCAACGGCAAACGAACTGGCGAAAACAACTCACAGTGAAGGGGCCCGGGAAATGGGCCTGGATGGCTGGCTGGGTGGGGTTGGGGGTGCAGTGACTGCGCCTGTGGCGGCGGTGGTCTTATCCGTGCAAGGCATCCACGCAGTTAAAAATCGATGCGCGCCCAACAACGGACCAAAAAGGGGGTAGTGTATTAAGTCAGAGTGGCTGGCCGGCAAATTGGATAAATGGGTTGGTGGGGTTGCGGTGGGGTGGTCTCATGAGCGTGCTATGTCCTTGTCTTTGGTCTCGGCGACGCTTGCAGGCGATGTGGTAAACAAAATCAATATTGAGGCGGACTGACTTGTGCCTGGATGTGAGGGGGATGCGGGGTGTTGGTGCAGGTACGCAGTAAGGATATTGTCTTATATGTATTGCGATTGGCGCACGAACTAGGTAGTCCACAGTATAAGAGTGGCTGTTTATGCAAAGATGGTAGTTTGTAATGGCTGAGCAATTTGATTGGTTGTGGATTGCAGTGGTGGATTGTGGAGGAGAAAGAGGATGAGGCTTCAGTGCGACGGTGTACGAGGTGGTGTGCGGTCATGTTAGCGGTGGTTGTTCTGTCAGTGGTATGCGGTGTAATTTGTTAGTGTGACTGGTTTAGTTGGTGGGTTCGCAGTCTTCTTTTTCTGCTTCTCTTTCTCGACCTTGGTCGTCGATTGAATTGGACTGTGTGGCGTGCGTGCTTGCGTGAAAAAGATAGCAGGTTCGGTGAGAAATCACAAAGACTTGGTGGAATTGCATGGCGTGGCGTGGTTAAGGTGAGTTTTTAGCTGTCTTCGTGGTGGATACTGCGCAGCAGTGAGGTAGGGTGCCACTAGTTGTTTCACGTTAGTGAGCTTGGTGGTTGGTGTGTGGTCTAATGTATTGCACCTCGTCTTGTTTTCGTCGGAAACAAAGACCACCTCCTGGGGAGGATTGAGGATTCGTGAGTACTCCAGTGCGCCAGTGACAACTGCTTTGGCTTCCTCGGGCAGCGCATTGGTGCAAGAAGAAGGAGATGGAGAAGTTGGAGGAAGTAAGAGAAAGGGGGAGGAGGAGCAGGAGGAGGAGGAGGATGGGACCGCTGCGGCGAGGGTGATAAGATAGTACTCATAGTTTTCATGTGCCAAGGCAACAGATTGAGTATGTGTCGTAGTTGTAGGTGTTGTAGGTGGCGGTATTTTAAAGAGTGCGTGTGTGTGCGCGTGTAGAGCCCCAGAAAGTGTAAAGAGAGATGTTTAGGTGGTGTGGGAAGCAGCTGTTTGATATAGTTTGGCATGACCCGTTTTGAGCTTCAGCAGAACTACGAAAAGCGCCCATGGAAGGTGAGTGGGTGGAAAGGCCATAAACAAATCTCACGAAGAAGGATTCGACAGGGGAGGAGATGGGATGGGAATTTAGCATAGTACCTGAGTGGGTGAGCCAGTGTAGATGTGAAATAAGTTGGTAGTGGTGATGATTGCTGAATAGTTGTGAGTAGCACGGAGCGTCACTGACTGACTCTGGGACTGCTCAAAAAATCCAGTTTTTTTGGAAAATAACGAAGCGGGCTGGTTAAATCATGAACTTGGAATATTAGAAGTGTTACGGGGATGATGTCTAGGTGTAAATTAAATTAGTACTGACTTTCTGCAAGTAGGCATGCTTTTTTGCATTAGCAACCACAAGTGTC